CGCTACCGCTTGAGCCACATCCCCAGCCCAGAATTCTTCAATTTCATACCTAATAAACTTCTAAGTCTAGCACTCAGTATTACATATCCAGCCACAGCTGACAAAATTATGCTTTTATTCTTTAAATGTTATAATCTCTCTCCTCAATATTTTTAGCTGTAGGAAACTAACTATTATTATGGTCAGCTAACCACAATCCAATTCTGAAACAACTAGGGCATTTTAGACAAAAGATAAAATCTCTAAGTAATATGTGTGTGTGTGTGTGTGTGTGTGTGTGTGTATACACACACACTCTATATGTACATATACATATATATATTTGTTACTGATGTAGACAAAGGATGACAGCTCTTAACAGAATCTTATACACACACAAATCAAAGGCCCTCAAATGTTCCTGCTCACTGACCCAAAAAAACCCACAAAAAACCCCCACAAAAAACAACCTAAAGGAACATAATCTGATGTTATAAACAAAGAAGATCTCTAGAACTAATAAACATAAAAGGCCCTAAATTACAAGCAATATAAAGAGAAGCCCCTTCATATCTCTGGGCAGAAATTCATGGCTTACTGGGTCAACCAGGCCACTTTCCTAAGTAAGGGATCTTTCAGGCACAGTAAATGTGTGGTGCCACTCCTCCAGTGCAGGGGCTAGGGCCTTGCTGGGCAGAGCAGGTTTCTGCATTTATTTGCCTAGACAACAGGGGGAGGGGAGGGAGTCAGGGAAGGAAGAGGGAGAAGGAAGGACAAGTAAACAAAACAAACCTGTGGGAGAGAAGAGGGACATCCCCAATCCACCTCCCCAGTTAATACTGTGAAAAATGGAATGGGTGAGCCCAGTTGAGACCCAGAGCACTGCTTCCACACCCTCTCGGTCCAAACTTCCAAAACTCTATTGCCATCTACCCACTGGATCAAGAGAACTTTATAAGAAGTGCTCTGGTCCTCTGTATGCCACGCAGTTCAGTGCTTCAGGAACTAGATTAGCACTGACACATGATACACCATGGATCAAGCGCTAGACGGACTAATCCCAAGGAGAAGCAGAGCCAGGACTTGTTAGGGATGTGACTATGCCAAGTTCTGCACTAAACCCTTTCCACATACTGAATGGCTTAATCCTCGCCACAGTCAGTGAAGCTGGTACCTTTAACAATTTCTAATTCACAGATAAGAAAATGGATTCAGAATAGCTAACGAACTGGCCAAAAGACATGGGCAAGGAGTGGCAGAGCTGACTGAGAGCAGGCAGTGTGATTCCAGGGACTACCCTCCTAACCCTAGTGAAAAAAAAGAATTCCTTGTGAGTGCCAGAAACCTGGACTTTAATAAAACCAGTATCATAAACATACTGCACACAGTTTAGAACAGAGAGAAAGTTGACAAAGGCTTGTGCCTTTTCTCATTGTAAATATATATGATAATTGTAGATTGAGACTTCAGAAAGGTGGAAGTGAACAAAATAGGAAATGACAACTTTTAGAACCTAGCAAATCAATTTAAGTATGAAAGTGAAAAAAGTATCTCTATCCAGAAGCAAAGAAAGAAAGCTGGAAAATACTCTCATGATGTGTACTATACTTCTCAACAAAGGAAGCCACTACATAATCTAGAGAGAAAGCAAAGTCCTCTAAGCGGCTGTGGAGCTATGCGGGATACCACTGGACCTCCCAGAGTCCAGTCTCCAGAGCTACAGTACTCAGAACTAACAGAGTCCATCCACCCTCTCAAACATGGCTGCTCTGCGTCTTCCACCCTTCATATTTGTTCTTCAGCACAGGTGTTGACATGTGACTGACTGACTGCTGGGTGTCAGCACCTAACAACAGAGTACTCAGCAGCCAGTTTAGATATATAGTAACTCATTCCATTCTTAGACCATACCTAAAGGTGATGGGACAATGACATCCATCTCAAAGATGAAGAAACTAAAGTGAGGAAGATGGGCCCACTTGCCCAAGATGGCACCTGCCATTGAGCCTGCCTCCTTAGTGCCTCTCTTGGCTGAGCTCCAACTGCTTCCCTTAAGTGAATGACTTTATCAGCAATAAATAAGGAGCCAGACACTGCAGGAAAGTCACAGTCCAGGTGAGGTATTCTAGCAGTGGGATGGACACACTAGCAACTACTTTTAGGACAAGAAAGTTTTGCAAAGTAGCCTCATCTTATTGACGGGGGCTCTGAATGTTACAAAATGTTCTTCATATTGAGACCTATTTTAAATCCTCATCTGTTTGTCCTTACCCACACTCTAAACTTACATAAAAAAGAATACTGACCCTTCTTCCATAAGATCATTTAAAAGTGTTTTTAAAAACTATCATGTCATCTCCTTACTCCTTATGCCAAACTCAAAGTAATAAGATTTTGAAATCTCTCGCCATTAGGAGGTTCACTGATGTGTTCTATGGGTACATAAATTTTCTTTTTTTTTAAAATTCTTCCCTACTCCTTTGAAAATTCTATTTTATTCCAAATAAGCACGAGGTAGTATAGATTGTTAATGACAATTTTTCAAACAATACAAAATCATCCTATTGCCATGTGTTTCAGTAAGCTTTTCTATGGCTTTGACCAAAAGACCTGAGAACAATGTAGAGGAGGAAAAGTTTATTTGAGGCTCATGGTCTTAGTCCACAGATGGCAATTTCATTGCTCTGGGCCTAAGGTGAGGCAGAATATCAGGGCAGAAGGGCGTGGTGAAGGAAAGCATCTCCAGAATTGGCCACCAGGAAGCAGAGAGAGCTCTGTTCATCAGGGACAAAACATATATCCCAGAGGTATGCTCACAGTAAACCTACCTCCTCCAACCACACCTCATATGCCTACAGTTACTACCTAGTTAATCCATTCAAGTCAATTAATGCAGTGATTAGGTTAAGGTTTTCATAACCCCAGCATTTGACCTCTAAACTTCCTTACTTCTCATAGTTGAGCTTTTAGGGGACATTCAAATCTAAACTATAACACCATGTTTCACTCCACAAAGTCTAACAATATATAGTTATCCTCCTTGCCATTTGATGATGTCCAGAAGTTTCCCAATAATTCAAATTAAAGACCACATCTCCATTCAACACAATTATATTAATCTATCAGAAAATTTCAGGGGTGGGGGAGGGACAATGAAATTCCCAATTCCTCAGTTTTTATTTTAAGAATTGCCATGATTAACACTAAAGTTACAGTACTGCTGTCACAACGCAATTGTGAGTGAATGCTTATGTCAATAAAATTCAGATGCCTTAAAACATTCCCAACAATCAGTATTTCATTCAAGATACTTGGGAGCAGGCTGAATAGCTAAAACATAGTGGCCTCCAAACAGACTTGTTTCTGAAGCACCCATAAGGCTGCTTATCATACTGCCAAGGGGAAGAAAACATACAATCATTGAAGAGGCCTTGAAGAACATTCCTCATCTGTTGAAGCTTGTTTGCAGGTTGGAGTAGAGAGAGAAAGTGAAACAGTCCTATTAAACAATGCCAGCCTTTCCAGAACTGCCTACATGTCTTTTAATATTGTAAGAGACCTCCAAAACTGGAATTGGTGGTAATATTATTTCATTTAATTCCTTTTTGTTTGCACCTAGATGACTGACTGCTTTAAGTGCAGTCAACTGCTAGCTTTTGTTCATTACATGTATGCTGATATTATTACATAATCCAATATTGAAAACATGTTTTAGAAACTGCAAAGGCTACTGATGGTGAAAATTCTTTTAGCCAAGAATAAGATAAACAGCATTTCCTGCTTGGATGGATTCCCAACAGAGATACCTGGAAACACATCTGGGTTTGCTACTTGGGGTGAAGAGACTGTCTTCATCCCTTAGTGTGACTCTAATTTCTGCATCCACATGCAAAGGTATCAAATGTTGTACTAGAAATCCTCACAGAGGGCTGGGGTTGTAGCTCAGTGGTAGAGTGCTCACATCCCATGTGGAAGGCACTGGGTTTGATCCTCAGCACAACATAAAAATAAAATAAAGGTTATTGTGTCCATTTACAACTAAAAAAATATTTAAAAAAAAGAAATCTTCACAGAAGTCTTGTCTATTGCTGTGACGGTAACCAACTTCATTAGAACTGGGGCATTTTCAAGATACTTGGTCCAGAGCAAAAGAGGATATGGAATTCACTAGTCTTGCAGCTCTTAACTGAACTTGAGTAGAGTTCTACTTATTTTGAGATTGAGAGAAAGTACATTCTAAGAAAAAAATAACAGAAAGGATCACTTCCTGTCTTAGCTTAAAAGACATCTGTGGCCCTGAATAAGGTAAATCTTTCAATTCAAGGCCTTACAGACACCATTTTGGATGCTGTCAAAAAACTTTTAGCCAAGTAGCCATTTCAGAATATATAATTATATCAAGGAAACTAAATAAATTTCCCCAGACACTGTAGATATGCAAGTTACTCTGTTCAAACTGAAGTGTGGATTTGTAATTCTGTTCTTCTTGGTGAAAACTGTACAATATTGACAGTCTTTGCTGATGACCCTAGTGGTTTGGAGTAACATGAAGAGATTTCTGGTTCCCTGGAGCAGTACTCTTCTTGGTTTGCTTTTTCAAATGTGGGACTCTTATTCCATTTTTCACGAATATCATTATGAATTAACTTTTTAGCAGTTTTTGCCA